CAGTTTTTTTTTTTCAATAATACCTACAATTAAACTTGTTTTCAAACTTAGGTTGTAGAGTAGGCATTTTATAGTTGTTTTTTTCATAATCCACTTTTGTTAATATGCCAATTTTTTACCTCTTAAAATCTTGGAATTTTGGAGCTTGAAATTGTACATATCATTGAATTTTTATGTATATACCCAAGCAACTCCTGGCCAGATCAAGATAAAATATTTCCAGTGTTCTTGATTCTTTTTCCAGTCAATACCTACTTCTCAGACCTAGCCACTACCATCACTTCTGTAAGTTTGCCATAAATAAATTTTCCCTATTTTGAACTTATATATAAATTCATAATATGGTATGTACAAAATTTTGTGTTTGGCTTCTTTTGCTCAATATTGTATCTGTCCGATTTGCCCATGTTTTTATGTGTAGTCATAGTTTGTTCTTTTTTATTACTATGCAGTATTCCATTGTCCAACTATTCTGTTATTTATCTGTTGCAGTTTTGGGCTACTAATAAACCTACAGTGAACATTATATGTCTTTCTGGGGAAGCGTGAACTCATTTCTCTAGGGCACATATTCAGAAGAACTGCTGGGTCATCAAGAAAACGTGTTTAGTTTTAGTAGATACTGCCAAATGGTTTTCCAAAATGGTTTTCCCACTCTGTGGTTTAAACTAGTAATGCATGAGTTTCAAGTACTTTATCCCTACTACCACTTGGTGTCATTCTTTTTAAATTTTAGTCTTTTTGATGAGTGTGTAATGGTATTATATTTCATGGTGGTTTTAATTTACATTTCCCTACTGACTAATGCTGTTGACCATCCTCTGGGCCAAATTTGGCCCATGGGTTGAAGGATGCTGACCTGTGCTTTTGCCTAGCCTCACTGGCCACTCTTTAATCTCCTTTCCTGATTCTTCCTGTCTCCCTTCCTTTGAATTTTGGTATCCTAGACTTACCCTTCTTCTTTGTCTACATTATTCCCTTAGGGATCCAGTCGAGTCTTCTTATCTCTAAAGTGACAACACTCAAATTTTTATCTTCTGCCCGTGTCTCTCTCCTCTAAATTTCTGACTAAAATATTCTGATTATTAAAAATTACTCCCTTCTCATCTCTCCTAATTGTTTTTGTCTTCTCAGAGACTTCCTTATTTCGGTAAATGGCAACTGCATTCTTCTGGTTGCTCAAGCCAAAAAACTTGAGTTATCTTTGACTATTGCTTTTCACTTAGAACTCACATTCAACCTGTAAGTAAATCCTATTGGTTATATCTTTAAAACGTGTCTTGAGCTCAACTGCTTTGACTGTTTCCAATGTTAATTCAAGCTACCATCATCTTGCACCCGGAATATTGCAGCAGCCTCCTAACTAGTCTCACAGCATCCACACTGGTGCCTCTAGTCCATTTAAAAATAACAGTACAGGCCAAGTGCAGTGGCTCATGCCTGTAATCTCAGCACTTTGGGAGGCTGAGGCGGGTGGATCACAAGGTCAGGAGTTCAAGACCAGCCTGGCCAATATGGTGAAACCCTGCCTCTACTAAAAATACAAAAATAAATAAATAAATAAATAAATAAATAAATAAAAATAATTAGCCAGGTGTGGTGGTGGGCACCTGTAATCTCAGCTACTTGGGAGGCTGAGGCAGGAGAATTGCTGAACCCAGGAGGCGGAGGTTTCAGTGAGCTGAGATCACACCACTGCACTCCAGCCTGGGTGACACAGCGAGACTCCATCTCAAAACAAACAAACAAAAAAACAGTACATTCTATTGCTATAGTGATATTTCTGCCTCATGGTTTTTGTTCTGGAATAGTTTCCCCCCAGGTATCTGTATGGCTTACTCTCTAATCCTTTATGTTCTCAAAAGTTCTGAAGTTTGAGATGTCTTCCCTGACCACTCAAAGTACTACTTCTACCCTGCACTTCCTATTTCCTTTTGTCTTGTCTTCATAGCACTTATCACATCTAATATCTTATGCTTTATCTGTTAGTTTATTTCCATTAGAATGTAAGTTCCATGAGGGCAGGGATAATTGATTTCCCAACATCTAGAAAAATGCCTGGCACATAAGTGCTCAGTAAATATGTGAGTGAATGAATGGATGAGTGCTGGAAAGAGCATGGGACTTGAAGTTAAACTGATTGGATTAAAATCTCAGCTTTCTTATTAGCAGTGTGAATTTCAATAATTACTTCAACTGTCTCTGAAACTCATTTTCTGTAAAACAGGAATATATACCTCATGGCCCTGGCCTATGAATTAAATGTAACATTTATGAAGTGCTTGCCATATATTAGGCATTCAAATGGTAATCTGTCCATCTCCGTCCTAAGCCTAAGAAACAATAATAGTTCTTTACAGTATAATCAGTTTATTTTTCAGCAATACTTTTTTTTCAAAAGAGGAAGTTGCAGAAATGTAAGTTTGAAGTCACAATGCAGTTTTTTTTTTCAAAAGCAATTTAGAAAAAATAATTTATGAAATAAATGTCAATAAATAAATACTGTAATAACCTAATAGGGAAAAATAGATGTATTTTAAAAGGAATTGTGAAACTACAGTATGTAGAATACAGGGCTTTTAATTTGTTTCTCAGAAAGCAAAAAATATTTCAAATGTGTTTGAAATAACTGAGTAAAGAAAAAGAACCCAAACAATTACGATAGGAAATAATAAAGGTGGAAATGAAGTAAAAATTTTAAAATGTAGTTGACCAATAAACCCAAAGCTGATTACTTGAAAATATTAACAAAATTAATAAATTTCTGCTTACAGGATTAAAAGAGCCTCAAATTTGTAACGCTGTGACATTAGACTGAGGTCTGTAAACTATAGCTTGGTGGGCCAAATCCAGGCAACACTTGTTTTTGTAAATAAAGTTCTATTGTACCACAGCCACATTCATTCATGTACTGTATATAGCTGCTTTTGTGCTACAATAGCAGAGTTAAGAAATTTTGACAGAGACCACATGTCCTACGAAGTCTAAAATATTTACTATCTGGACCTTTACAAAAAAATGTTTGCTGACCTCTTAACTAGAGGTATGCAAGTTCTTTTTAAAAAATGATTCTATTTCCCAGGGAAATAAGAAGCGTGGCCATCATTTTAAGAATGAGATGTGGAGGTCTCAGAAGTTTGAGGGAAGAGCAGCCCAAAATAGTTATCTGGTAAAAAGATTACTGAATGTATCAGAGAAATGTAATAAGTGTATCAGAGAAAGGTAGTAAGATTGACAAAGGGCACTAAACACATCACTAAAGGATAGTGGAAAGTTGGGACAAGTAAGCATGCTTCTCTTTGAAAGATACTTACATCCTCAAAATAGATTATTTGTACCAGAGTTGGTTCTAAAGATATAGGAGCATTTTCTGATTCAGATTAATTAAAAATTAAATACCAACTAATTTTTAAAAAGGTTTACTACTTTCAAGTGCATAGAATTAAAACTCAGCTGACAATATTTGTGCCTGTGGTTCAGGGAAGTCTCTAGGGGACACTTACTTTAAATCCTCTTCTTGTTTGAAGAAGAGAAGAAAAATGATTTATACTGAGTTATGTGTTACAAAAGAATGGATATTCTAGAAGCAATAAATGCCTCCTTTCCCGCAAAAAAGCACTGTAATCAGGTGAGATAATCAGAGTAGGAAGAGACTTATGCTCTAGATAAAATAACCAATTTTAAATTACAAGAAAAACTTTACCCATAGAAATAACTTCACTAATCACAACAATGCTGCCGTGCTTATTCTCAATCTGTAGTCTAAAAATCACACTGTATTTGTCATGGAAATAAAAAAATCACCATTTTATGGAATTTTGTGACAAATCCTTTTGGAAAGCAAGTGTTTTATAAATTCACATTTTCAGTTTGTCCTAATATTTGCGAGATGGTTTGTTTTTATACATTACTGTATAAAGACATACACAGTAATGTTCATGGTAGGTTTATTAATAGCCCAAAACTGCAAGAGATAAATAACAGAATAGTTGGACAATGGAATACTGCATAGTAATAAAAAAGAACAAACTATGACTATACGTAAAATAGTGACCCATCCAGCCAACAGAAGAAATATCAGTATCTTTAAGATGAACTGAGGCGAAAAAGACCATCATAAATAGATAATCTGATAGTATGTCTGTCATTTTCTGAGAGTTTTTTTTTTTTTTAAAAGGAAACTAAAACACAAGATTTATTGAATGTTTTCTATTTACCCAAGCACTGTGCTGGGAGTGAAACACTGTATGTATTAAAATAAGTACCTTTAAAACTTTAAAACTCATTTAAATGAGGAAATATCAGAAAAAAATATGCCTTGCTATTTAGAAGTTAGGTTAAAATGTCAGGCACCAATTCATAGTGTGATTACTTTCCAATGACAACTGGTTGAGCATATTCTCAAGAAAAGAATGATTGAAATCTTGTCGTTCTGGTATAAGAGCAGAAACTGCGACTAATTATAGATCCTTATAATGTTCTTCCTTTCCACAATTTTTTATCTTTGCTTTGTTTACTTCTCAAACAACTGTAGATCAACTGCATCTGTTTAAGTACGGCACTAAGTCAGGCAAGATTTAAATACTATATTCCCTGCTAAATTGGGCCTGCCTCTTTATTAACTTCACTTTAAAAATCTGAGTATCATTAGGGTGATTTTGAAAAATAAATCTTACTTTAGATATGATAAATAATATGTCAAATGCCATTCACTTTAATAACATTCGTAAGAATGTTATATAGTATGTATGTTCCCCAAAGTATTTTACATAAAAAATTCCAATGTACTTTGTACTTTCAACACTAGTGTCTAATTTTTTGCTGTTTTAATTTGTATTTAAAATACTTTTCCTAAGGATTTAATCCACAATTCAAAACTTTTAACATTTTACCTTTATCCTTTGTATTTTCACAGACACTTTCAAAATTAGTAATTTCCTCATAATGTAATATAACAAAAAAATCCAATAAAAATCCTTATTATGTAACAATGGAGGGGGAAAAAAGAAATAAAAGAAAGTTGTTAATTTATGAACACTTTACAAATTCTGTAAGATTCACTATGACAAATGAGCACACTTAAAAAAAGTCAAAGATATTACATATAACTTTAATTTTGAATGTGATTTACATAAGATCAAACCAAAGAATTACTTATACTTTATTGCCAAATCAAAATTAACATAAACATAACAAATAGTATTTATAAGTCAAAGTAACAAATCACTTTTTAAAAGAAAAAATCTCTACATTGTCAAAATTTTTCCTATGGAATATTGGCAAAGAATGTAAAGTTATATTGTGCCACAAATAGTTAAAAGCAATGATTTTTGGATGGTTCAATAAGATGTGTATATATAACTTAAAACAAATATTTGGGTTATTTTCTCTGGAAAGTTAGCTTGCAAATGAAAAGAAGAAAACCGAATCCGCATACTGTAATAGCTGTCCTCTTCAAAATTCTACTATTCCATGTAGATACTTCTTCCCTTAATTGTATATGAGTTGGATCATTTTCCCGTTCATTTTGCAACTAATATTTGCATGGAAAAAGAAAAGAGTTATTGTATATTAATAAAAACATTTTGATTTTTAAAAATATCATAATATCCATGTTAATTCAATTCACTTGTTTAGATGTAGGCAACTCAAGATTCCCATGGAAGATTTAAAGTAAACATATATGTCTTGAAATACAGTCTTTCATTAGCATCCCATTACTGTAAATTATTAGTTTGCCATTAAAAATACATGCTGTCACAGATAATCACATTTTAAAATGGTGTTTTTATGTCATGAGACAAAGTAACTTTAAATTTACAGTTTCTGTTTTACTTATAAGGAATGACAATTGATACTGATTTGCTTGTGTATTACATATCAATTAACATCTTACAAAAAAGTGAATCATTATTATAGCAAACCTAAAACATGAAATTTAGCAAAAACGAGAAGACCAGATGCTACTGGTAGAAACTTAATACTTTATTTAAATATAATTGCAGTAACAAATGTCAACAAAAACTTAAGTGGTTCTTTTAGTAATTCTCAGCAATGAAAGTACAGTACCCATTCAGTTTGTAAATTCCCACAGATACAAATTTCTTGCTCAAGAAGCTCCCTTCTCCCCTACGTACTGTGTGTGTGTGTGCCCACTCTGTGTGTTTCTGTGTGTGTGTTTCTGTGAGAGACAGAGAGAGAGAGAGAGAGGGAGAGAGAGAGAGAAAGAGAGAGAGAGAAGGGGGAAGTGAGAGAGAAAAGACTTAAAGAGGGAGGGCTGAGAGGAGAGAGATGGCTTTTGGGGGTGGGGCACGAGAGAAAATAAGCAGAAACCAAAGATCCTTGAAAGATAAAAAGAATCAGGCACATTTATAGAGTGATATTTACTAGAAACATCCTGTGCTGGAGTGATGACATAAATACTTTCAACATCAGCAGGAATAATGACTTCCAAATTCGACTGTGTAAATATTTAATTAAAAAGCTTGCAAAATTAATTTTAAATTTATAGCAGAAAACCAGACTCCAACGCCAACTCATTAATACCATATTCTTGGTCTAACTTCCAAATGGCTTCATTCAGCAACAGATTCCTTTTTGACACTGATGCTCCATTTACTGAATCCTGAGACAGTCATTCCTTTTATTAACCAATTACTTAGAATGACCCTTTCTGACAGGAGCCTGTCAGTGTGTTGGCTTGAAAGAGAGTGATGTGGTGTTAAAGTCTAGCCTTGACCTCTCCCACCCTCTCTCTTTGTTACCTCCATACACTTATCTGTGATAACTCACGTTTCTTAAAAAAAAAAATCTCCTTCGATTATTACTGGTAAACTCTGAAATAATATAAGCTTAACAGGCATCATAGCATATTTGCAAATCTGGAAGCCTTCATAATTCCCTAAATCAAATCTCATTATGATGATTACTACTTGTACAAGACTAATCTGGAAAAACCAAACCACTAGCTTGCTCCAAAATTAAGACTTTCTTGCCCAAAGAACTGTATTTGCCATTATTATAAACTAATTCATGTTTTCAAGGGTAGTTCTTATATAGAAATGCATAAATTCTAAATAGAGAAGGGTCACGGGAAAAAGGTCTTCTATTTAGCTAAAGAAGAATGAAAATTCTCTTAACAGGTATGCATTATTAAAATAAATATTATGGTACCTGATTGAATTGTGTATGCTTTAGAGTGAGTCAGTCTCTATAGCAAAGTTTCTTAATTTCACTCATTTAACAAAAATATGGTTTTCTAATTTCATTTTAATTCTATACACACACCCTTACCCCTCACCCCTATGTTTTTAGTTCATCTTGGAGAAACCAAATGAGTAAACAACCCTGAAGCAAATATGTTTTAGGAAATTTCCTACACTAAAAAACGCTGATGTTTTGCAAGAAGTATCTCTATACACATGCTTCTAAACTTCCCTGGGATACCCATGAAAAATAGCATGTTTAAGTAGAATCAGTTCTTTTCCTTTGATTCTTCTAGATGAGATGGAGGTAGTGATGATGAATGGTGCTATAATTTTTGGGTTGTCAGCAAGTTCAGGATGTAGCTTGTGTAGCACAGGTGCTTGACATATAGCAAGCAGTCTTATGTTTGTTGAATGAATAAAGTCAGAGATAATACAATTTCTAAGATGCCTTTTTTCTTTGGAAAGAAATTATTTTCTACAAGAATTCTGAAACATGGTGCTCATTTCCCCATTTAAAATGTCCTTTCCCACCTATTATTTTGTATAACAGAATTTGCTTCACAACTTTCTTCTCACTTTAAAAGACTCCTTTTGGGCTGGGCGCAATGGTGCACACCTGTAATCTCAGCACACTGGAAGGCTGAGGCAGGAGGATCACTTGACCTCAGGAGTTTGAGACCAGCGTGGCTAACATGGTGAAACTTCGTGTCTACTAAAAATACAAAAATTAGCTGGGCATGGTGGTGCATGCCTATAGTCCCAGCTACTCAGGAGACTGAGGCAGGAGAATCACTTGAATCTGGAAGGCAGAGGTTGCAGTGAGCCAAGATCGCGCCACTGCACTCCAGCCTGGGCAATGCAGTGAGACTTGGTATCCAAAAAGGGGGGGGGGGGAAGACTCCTTTTGATTTAACACATTAATAGCTAGAATGACAATTTATTAATACTTGGAACATGTATAAAGTCTATTTTGAAGAAAAGAACTTTTTTGATAAAATATTAATGAAAATGTTAAATGAATTATGGGTTGAAGCTAAATAATGTATAATCTAACCTTCAAATCAGATATTTCACAAAAGCTTTATAGACATAAATTTATTAAACAGATCAAGAGCTCAGAAGTGAGCTCTTCCTTTGGAAACTATCCTTTTCCCCACTTGTCTAAGTGTTCCATTTGTTGCTCTTACCAGAATTGCTTCATGGTCTAACACATTTTGCTGTAAATCATTTGCCTTCGTTTCCCCTCCTTTTAATGTTAAATATATACCTTTTGAATTAAGTCTTTTAATTTGCAGACTTCTTCACTCAAATCTTCAACATTATTAACCAATTCTTCACAAACTGAAGTAAAATTCCGGGGAGAAGCCCATTCCAGCGTTATCTGTTAATATTTTCAAAAGTTCAACAATAAATAATGGAAATAACTTCCCACAACTTTATATCCACAAAGATTATACAACATTCTTAAATATTAAATTATATAATTGATATATATACCAATTTTGTTGATATAGGATAAATATCAAAATTGTTTAGGATAAATACACCAAAAATAAGTAACTTTATAAAAGTAATCAAATGAGCTTGCCAAATGCATTTCCTGAATATATGTATATATAACTTTCTATATGGAGATTAATATTAGTAATACCATTTATGATGAACAAATCAGTTCATGAAGGTTTTAAAAATGACACGATTCTCATATTAATTGATGTTATATAAAAATCACTGGAAAACAAGTGCATTAAAAAATTTTTACTCAGACAAACAGCTAAAACCTAATCACATGAAATAAGCTGCTTTTGCAGGCCACTTACACTTTTTCTTCCTTTTTTTTTGAGACAGTGTCTTGTCCCGTTGCCCAGGCTGGAGTGCAGTGGTGCAATCATGGCTCACTGCTGCCTCAACCTCTTGGGCTCAAGTGATCCTCCCACCTCAGCCTCCTGAGTAGCTAGGACCACAGGTGCATGCCATCATGCCCAGCTAATTTTCAGTTAGGACCAGAGGCACATGTCATCATGCAGAGCTAATTTTTAAAAATTCTTTGTAGAGACAGGGTCTCACCATGTTGCTCAGGCTGGTCTCAAACTCCTGGCCTGAAGCAATTCTCCCACCTGGGCCTCCCAAAGTGTTGGGATTACAGATGTGAGCCACCATGCCCGGCCACTTGCACTCTTCCTATTCTAAATTTATTTAAAAATCTTTTATTGATACAGTTTTTAAATAACACACTGTTTTGTTTCCATTTTCACTTGGGTCTCCTGTCACTTTATATTTTAAACAAGAACACATGGTAAATTCAATACATGCATCAGTTTAATTTTTGGTGTGACTCGTTTTCTTTTTCTTGAGGTAAGAATACAAAGTTTTAAAATTAGTATGTAATGAAATAATATTAAACAAATTGAGTTATTTAGATCTTACGTGATTTTGCAGAACAAATGATACAATTTTAGCAAATCAGTACTATTTATTGAATTATCATGAACTTATCTGGAATGTTCTTCAGTGTTCATACTTTTCTTCACTTAATAACTTTTGTAGAATACCTTTTGAGAATTTACAGGTAACTCAGTAATAATATTCTGTACAGCTGTTATTAAATGGCCACACTGTTTATTTAATTTGAGAAGAAAGTTGAGGAACTCATCACCACTAAAGAAAGGAAACCAACAAACAAGCAGGAATTACCAATAAGAGCAATTTATTTCATTCTACTAGGCTAGTTACTGAAAATCTAGTCATAAAATTAGATTCTTCCAAAAGAATTCATGGAACAGCTAATACAGATTAGGTACTGAAACAGGCACTGATTATAAAAGAAAAACAAACCTCCAATCCCGAGAATCTTAAAGTTCAGGATAAGATGCAGATATACAATTGCAGCTTTATTATTCACAGGAACACATGAAGGAGGAAGATAAAATAATCAATATCTGAGTAGCTACTATGTGAAGACACTGCACTAGTTATTTTATATTGGTTATTTCTTTTGATTTTTCCTAACAACCCCTATAGGATAGATGTTGTTAATACTATTTTATAGTGGAGACATCTAAAATTCAGGGGGAATGAATTTAATATCACATGAGAAGGAGGAAGTAGGGAATTAGAAATGCTTTACAGAGATAATACTTGAATTGTGTCTGTGGTTGAAGAAAAAGTTTGCCAAGTAGGTAAGGAAGAGATTCTGGATAAAGAGAATAGCAGGTGCAAGACTACAAGGGTAAAGGTCAGTAAGGTGTAATTAAAACACAAATTATTGAAAAGTAGTAAGATAAAAGGCTGGATATAACCATTTATTAAAAGAACTTTTGTGTCAGCATAAGGAATTGAATTTTACCTTTCTGATGATGTAGAGTTACTAAGAGATTTTCAACAGGAAATTTGAAAATTAGACTTTTAAATGAGAATGTTTATTTGGAGAGTGGTGTGGATAAAAGGAACACAAAAATAGAAGCAGAATAATTAGGCGACCAACAGAGAAATGCATCCAAGAGATGATGAAGGAAAACTTAGACTAAGGATCTGGCAGTGGCAGTCTTATTGTGGGGAGGAGGGAGAGCAGTGGCTTGAGAAACCTTTAGGAGAATAAACTGAAAAACTTGGTGATGGATTGTATGTAATGGAAGAATCTATGATGATTCTCAGTTTTTTTGGTTTCCATGGAAGGCAGCGTTGCCAAGCAAGGAATTGAATTTGGTGGTGGATGGTGGAGATAAAAGAAAACATTATGGCATAATAATTAAGTGCACAGGCTCTTGAGTCAAGAGTCAATGTGAGTTTGGATTCATCTTCCACACTTACTAGCTTTATGATTTTGGGCAAGAATAATCTTAAGCCAAATGTTTTCGTATCTCTAGAATGGAGACAGCAGGACTCAAGAAGACAATGTACATAAAGTACCTAGGATTGTGTCTAGTACATAGCTGGTGTTCAAGTAAATGTAATTATGATGACTGCAATGGTGAGGAGACATGCAGGTGGCAACAAGAAGTAAGTGGTAGAAGATGGGGGTCTTGCAAGGGTATTTATTCTGGGCTCTAAAGACTCATGAAGATAGATACAATTCAGAGTCGGTGAACCTCAATGGGAAAAAAATATGTCTTTATTTTCACTAACTTCTAGCCAAGATTCAGTCTTTCCTTGAATTGTGAAGGTAGCACAAACACAGTAGTATTAGAAATGTCTCCAACAGAAATCAAAACTATGATCATAAAGACGACCATAAGACATATTGTGAAGAAGGGAGAGTTGACAGGGGTAGAACAGAAAAGCCACTAAAGGAAATGTAGCCTGAGAAGTAGAAGAAAATCAGTAGTTAAGAGTTGTTATGAATGACAATGAAGGGGATGGATTCAAAGGAGAAAAGATTAAGCACATTAAATAAGTATACTGATTTTGGTAATGAGAAAACACTGGTGACTAGATTAGCTTCAGTGGCAGAAGCCAATTTATAGTAGAAACAACAAAGAAACTTAACCCAACAGAAAAGTTGGTCAAGGCTATTAATAGGGAATTCAGAGAAAAAAAAAAAGAAACAAAATTTGAATGGATAATAAATGTGGGAATACAATAACCGTAAGATGCCACATCCTAGCAGAATGATAAAAATTAAGATCATTAATATCAAGAGTTGACAACTGTATTAGATGACCTTTCTGGGGAGTCCTTTAACAGTATCTACTGAAATAAAAATACAATAAAAACTACTATTATTGGACCAAAGGTAATTTGTGTGTGTGTGTGTGTGTGTGTGTGTGTGTGTGTGAGAGAGAGACAGAGTCTCGCTCTGTTGCCCGGGCTAGAGTGCAGTGGCGCGAGGCTCACTGTAATCTCTGCTCCTGGGTTCAACTGATTCTCGTGCCTCAGCCACCTGAGTAGTTGGGATTACAGGTGTGCACCACCATGCCCAGCTACTTTTTGTATTTTTTAGTAGAGATGGGGTTTCACCAAGTTGGCCCAGCTGGCCTTGAACTCCTGGCCTCATGTGATCAACCTGCCTCAGCCTCCCAAAGTGCTAAGATTATAGGCGTAAGCCACCATCCTAGCCCCCAAAGGGTACTTCTAAGCCCATACAGAAATTCTTATTTGTAGAAGTTCTGACTACATACTATACAAAGTTTCTTTCACACTATTTCAATAGAAGGAAAGGTTATAAAAAGCAAGCAATGTCAGCCTCCAATGAAAATAATAGAAAACTTCTAAGATACAGTACTGGGATGTATATAGTATTTTCATTTAAGTCTTTTAGCTATTAGGCTGAAAAAATGAACAATTTCACTTTAACAGTTTTATAAAATACAAACTTTATAAACAAAATACATATAATCAATGACTTAGAATAAAAAGTACCTGATGGTTGCTTTCAACAAGCAAACCTAAAATTAAAAAATGTAGGAAAACCCTTGTTCTGTTTAGCAATAAGTATTCATAAAACCATTTTCAAAAAATATGCAATTCTTCTTTATTCTATTTTCTTTCTGATCTTTACTCTAGAAAACACAGAACTTGGAGTATATGACATATTTCTGCCAAAGCAACAGCAGTGATTACTTGTATTTTGTTTCCATGTACTATTTATATAAGTACACTTATAACTTAGATTTCAGTGTTCTTTAAATATTCCAATTTTATTTATCAAGAATAATTACTAAATGAGTAATTCACTAATGCCATATATATTTAATTTATGACCTCGAGGAAATTAAGATCCATTGAGAATTATCATTTGAATTATCAACTGATAGCAGGTATGTAATTTTAGATAGGTGATTCACGAATATGTATGTGGAATATAAATTCATCAGTTCTTATTCTTAAGATAGTAAGAGTTCAAATAAACAAATTTTATTACTAGCAAAATTAATCTTAAAGAATGAAAGGAAAATATATACCTTTCTTGTGACATATAATTTTCAGAGCCACTGAATACGGATGGACAAATTGTACAAAACAAAACTCTACAGAGTGCCATTCACACTATGTGAATGGTGTGTCTCCATCACAGCTGCACAGTATATGACCTATACAACTTTACATGGCAGGCCTGATAACTTTGTGCTTATTTAAAAAATTCAAAATAAGCAGATATGACACAGGTATAGTAGACTGTATTATTTGATCCAATTCTCATGTCTTTTCTACTGAGCTAACTACTACCAGTTCCCTGACCCCTGTCAGGGGACTATAATTCATGCCCCAGGGGCATGAGGCCTGACCACATGACTTGCTTTAGCAAATAAAATATGATTGGAAGTTACTGTGTAACTTTTGAACAGAAGCTTCAAGAGCCACTGAATGATCCTGCCATCTTTCTCTTCTTTCCCATGAGAGCAGTATGTCCCAGGTTGAGACTGTTCCTCCAGCCTACTCTCAGAATGACAAGATCACTGTTGCTGACCCATGATACAGATGATCAGGAAACACAGTTTGTTGTTATAAGTGACTGACATTTAGAAATTATTTGTTACTACAGCATAACATAGTATAAGCAAACTAAAACAACAGGCCATTTAAAAAATCTGAAGTCAAGTACTAAGATAAAATTTATACTTTAAATAAAGGTATTATAAACAAAGGTATTATGTGCTCATTGTAGAATATCTGAAAAAAATTAAAATCGTCAACAATCTTACCACTCAAAGACAATGACTAGCACTATTTTCTCTCAGAATATTTTTTTATAATACACATTTTCTTCCAGTGTTTTTCCTATGGATATATATAACTGACATTGCTTCACATGACCTTTTATATTGTGCCTTTTATAATTATCATGAGTATTTTCCCATGATGTTAAGTTTCAAAATAATTTTAATGATGAAAAAATAATTATATTGATGCAATGGAATTTAACCATTTTCCTGATGTTCAGTATTTAGAGTTTCAAATTTTAGAATGTTTATAAATAATAGGGGTGAACAATACACTTTTACATAAAATCTTAACATCTATATAGATTTTTTGGGGTGGAGCAGTTTTCTTGATGGACATAGCTTTGAGATGCTTTTGACACCTTCAAGTGGATGTCAGTTAGGTCAGACAAAGAGTCTAAACAGGAACAGTTAAAAATTTCAAATGTGAATGAAAACTTATTATTTCTGTTCAAAATATCTAAAATTAGCAACAGAATGGATATTACAATTTTAAATTGCACTCTTTATTTTTTTAAGAGAGTCTTGCTATGTTGCCCAGGCTGGCCTTGAACTTCTGGGCTCAAGTTATCCTCCTGCCTCTCAAGTAGATGAGACTACAGGCACACCCCACTGCATTGGCTTTAAATTGCATACTTTAATTCTGCAAACATACTAAGGCAGAAAAAAGTAAGTGCAGTGTCTGTATGCATTGTTGTAACAGATTATTTTAGAAGATTTTGACACACAGAAGAAAACTATCTTAAAATAAATCAGTAAATTGTTGAAGTCACATTACTAGGAGATTATAATCAATCAGTTCAACTTTTCCTGCTGTTAGTTTTCTTATGACTTAATGACTGATTTCTTCTTTAAAGAATGACTTTGAACAAATGGTAAGTAAAACCTTTTCCGTAACAGCATGTAAACAAAGTCTGTGATTTAATAACAAGGTCAAATTCCTGGAATATATGTCTGCCAGTTTTATTTTTTTAAAAAAATTCAGTAGCTTTTTATAAG